TACTTTTTGGGACATTTCCTCAAAATTCATAAGAATTTTGATATTTTTCATACTTGTTTGACATGATTAAGACATCTGTTAATTCATTCGAAAATCAATTTTTTATGTGCTAGAATTCACATTAATTTAATGTTGTTTTCAGACTTTTTTCACACCACTAAAATTTTTTTCCATCTAATTTCTATATTTCAAATATGTTGTCATACAGACACCTATTTCAAAATTTAGGTATACTTTTTGACACTCTTATTTTTCAAGATTCAAACATAAATCCAAGTCATTTATTGAATGTTTTTTGGACACTTTTGTATGTTTTTTCCAATTTAAAACATTTTAAATCTAATATTATTACGTCAAATGAATTTCCTGTTTTAGTAGTGTCCTTGATGATGCACAATTTTAGTAAAAGGTAAACAAAGATTGCAAAATTAGTACAACATGTAAACAAATAGATGGGCTAAGTTTATTCCCTCAACTAATCTTAGTTTCTTACTTTATCACAGTTTGCAGAAAGTGGACGTTTCTCTGTTTTTAGTTAGTTATGTTTTTCTTCTGCTAGAGCTAAGTATATTTTACTCAGTGCAGTTATGTCTTTGTTTTAGAGTTTTTAATTTTTCATACACTTATTTTTTTCTAAATTAGTTTTACAGCCTTTCTGTGAGTTGGTGGTTTAAGACTTGATACAATGAGGAGCAGCAGAAAAATTTACTAATTTTATTACCAGATAAACATGCTAATTAACATTAAGAAAACAAAAATTGCTTACAATTTTGGAGCAAGCAAAAAAAAAAAAAAAAAAAACTTTTATGCACACAAATTGATCTTAAGTTGCATTTTTTGCTCAAGATAATTATTAGAATTTTAGAGCATCTTGGTGCTGTTTTGGAAAAATTGGACAATTTACACAGCTATTCCAACCATACAAATAGTGCTTAGAAAACAGTAGTGCATCGAAAATAAAAATATAAAGATAAGTTTCATTCAATAAATCCCACAAACAAAAACAGGACAGCCAAAAACGGTGAAACGATAGCTGTTGAAACTTGACAAATGACTAAAATGTGAAAAATAATAAGTACAATTTTAGTACTGCTCAGGGGAAGAAGTCATCCCAACAACAAATGAGGATGCATATATACCTTTCCTAGATGAATGAGTTTGGCACCTGCTCTATATAAGCAAAATGCAGGCCTAGGCTTTAATACAAAGACATGTAGGTAAGGTAAAAAGATATATTATAAGCTTGAAAGTTTTATTCAAAAACTGAGAAAAGAAAAGATAACAGAAATAATTCGCTGGGCTGATGAGTGACTTACAGATAAGAGATTTCTGATTAGTGATCTGCATATTAAGGCACAGGAAAAAGATCACAACCTTTAAATGAAATGTCAGAAAATCTATAAAATNAAAAAAAAAAAAAAAAAAAAAAAAAAAAAAAAAAACAGTGCAGTTACATTACTATATGCAATTAACTGATAAATAAAGTACAGAACCCGTTATCCGGAAATCAGAAAACCTAAAAACCGGAACGAAATTTGATAAATTTTCCTGCCATTTTTTTAAAAAATGTTTTTTTTTCCTCATAAGATTTTAGGATTTTTCTTTCTTTTTTGAAAGATGTTTACCTTACCACCATCATTTTGGAAATAATCATTAGTGTATTCCTTCATCGCTTTTTCCTTCTTTTTAAGATTATTTCCAAAAAAAAAATTTTTTTTTTTTTGGGTTTAACAATAAAAAAAACGGCTTTTTGTAGCGATTCAGAAAACCGGAAAAATCAGTTATGCGGAATAGTGATGGTCCCGATTGTTCCGGATAATCGGTTTCCTACTGTATATATAAAACTTTGAAGTAAATGTTTACCTGCACCTCAGATTACTATTTCAGTACATGGAATTTGGGGTTCTAAAATTGTGGAGCAAATCCACACTTTTTAGTACATTTTAATACCTACTACGTTATATAAAAACAATTAAATGAAAAAGGAAAGAAAAGATGTTATTTTTAACTACAACAAAACAAGCATTAGTTGAGTAATACCCCAAAATTTTCATTTTCGCCTTAATCTACCATCATTATATTAGGATAAAAAAACTATGTTTCTCACTGTTGACTCTAGTTTGTACAATCTAATTAGTAATAGCAATGGTCAATAAAGTAACCTGTAATTTCCATTTAGTCAGTTTTAGTTATCACTCTTGACAAAGCTGTCTTTGGTGACTAGTTGCAATTTCTGAAATTAAATTCTCTAAATTTGTAACATTTACTTTTATTTGTGCAGAATCCCATTTTGAAACTTAACAAGCTGCAAAACATAGGTGTCACGTCAATTTTTCGAGTTTACAATGTTAATTTTTCCAAATATGATTTCTACAATTTTTGTAGGCATCTTACTAAGTGTCTTTCACAATGATCTTTGCGTCCAAAACTTTTCTGACAATTATTACAAACATATGGCTTTTCCTTTGTATGCACAAGCATATGTCTATTCATTTTGTATTTGTCATAATTTGTAAAACGGCACAAAGAACAGTAATACAGCTTCATTTCTTCAGAGTATTTTGGCAGCCAATCTACAAGAAAGATCAAAACCATTACACAATTAATTATAATGAAACACTATTAATAAAAGTTATAATTTTTTTGAAAAAAATAAAGTAAAAATATAGAATGAAATTTTTATAATAAATATTATTCAGAAATAATTCAGGATCAATATTTAAGGTATCATAGTTTTAAAACAAAAACTTTAGTACTGACTACACATCTGAGAGTATTTACAAGCTAAAACTTGAATCAAATTATTACATTAAATATAAAATTACAATTCACATTAATTTCCAACTTAAAACTTGTCATGTTTCTAGAAACTACAAGAGTAAATTATACTTATTTTTAAAGATCACCCATTTATTAGCGTACGGCGGACAGTTTAGCAAAATATAGGAAAGAGTTACAAACTGGGGGAACTAATGCTCAATCTTTTTAATCGTGATAATTAACCAATAACCAACAGGCAATAAGAATTTCAAAAAAGAAATTTAAAAATATTAATTATCAAATATAAAAACTAATGAAATTTATATTAAAGGCTTAGACGACTCTAAGACATCAAAAAAATATTTATATATATTTTTTTTTAACTTAAAAAATGTCTTTATAATTATTGATAATATACCCAAAGGTTTATGAGCAGCAGAAATATCTAAATACTCAAAATTTTGAATTTTCACTCATCATAGTCAGGGTTGCCACTCAAATCTGGAAAAAAAATTCCCTGTGTTTTCCCTGTACATATTATACACAATTATATTATGAGGAAAAACACAATTACTGTACTCTTGTGTGAGCTATATTGAGCTAACTATATTTATTAGTTTGAATTGCAGGAAAAACAGCTGAACATACTTAAATAATGCTGTAGTAAAAGAAATAGTTCAGTATAGCTGAAATATCATGGTTAAATATCATTCAGATTACGCTTTGAGTGGTCACCATTTTTTAAAAGACAAAAATAAGAAACAAAATTCCCTGTATTTTCCCAGTTTGTAAGGATAAAATCAAAATTCCCTGCATTTTCCCTGTTATTTTAGGTGATTTTCAAATTCCCTGTATTTTCCAGGTTCTCCCTGTGCAGTGGCAACCCTGATAGTTTACAGTCTGATCAGAGAAAATTAAAAAAAAAAAAATTATTAAATAAATATTATAACAATATTCAGTATTAACTTAGTATAAAATTCAAATATACTGAATTTGAATCTAATGTTTATTTTGAGGAGCCAAAATAAAAATTTTGCTATCAGAAACGAAAAAAAAAAAAAAAACTATTTACAGATATTTCAAAATAGTTTAATCTTAATGGAATTTTAAGGGGAAAAAAATCAAGACTATGACATCATTCAAGCATAAACTGCACACTTCTATCCTTACATTTATCAGGATACTTTTTACTTACTTATTATCTTGTGCAGAAACAAATACACCAAATAAGAAATTTTACATTTTTATGATCAATCTAATTTAATTGAGAAATTAAGGCTATATATAAAAGGAGCAAGTTAAAAATTATCAAAAAAGAACAAAAAACTTATTTAAATGTGAGCTTAATTGGATTAAAATTCATTAAGAAAAGGTTAATAGAAATACACATTTTTACAGATACATATAATAAAACAAGACTATATAAAGAGAAGGTCTTTAATCCAAGTGCTTAATAATATGTCAAAAGCTATTACATCTCATTTTTAAACTGGTAACAGGCAAAAAAATTTTTTAGCCATTTTATTCACTCAACAAAAAATTAAACAATACAGATTAAATAAAGATGAAAATTAAGTGCAATTAAAATAAAAAATTCAAAGCATAATAAGACAATTATATAAGAAATATTAAACAGAGAAACTCACAAATCAATCTAGGAACATTAAATTATTCACAATTAACAACATAACATCAATTCTACAAACATATATTAAACACTACAGAATGATGCTCAAAATAAAATACTTAATAAAAAAAAAGGGATATAGAAACCTCTTATTGTATTACTCTATCAAAAACAAACTATTGTTTCCCAAAAATGCAATATATTTTTTTATATTAATTATTAAAGAAAATGTTAATTAAGCTTTTCATTAGACAAATAATCCCAAAAAAACTGAATCAGAAAGATACTACTAAAATAAAAATTTCAATCTCTTCAAAAACATACAAATCAGAAACAATAATCAACATATTTCAATCTCTTCAAAAATATACAAATCAGAAACAATAATCAACATGTTTCAAGCGCTGAAAAAAAAATTCAAAAAAGAATTTCCTTTTTCTCTGTCTACTACTAAGTTTTTCTAGTTTTATTTCCCACTTTTGATTGGCAGCTTTACATTTCAAATCACTTTTAATTCTTCTCATTTATGTCTGGTAAGTCTTGAAAATAGGCACTTTTTTTTTTGGTTGATTGAAACATGTTGACTGTTATTTCCGATTTCTATGTTTCCCAAGCGTATGAAGTTATTAATCAAGCAAGCATTTAATTATTGTAGATCCAGTATAAAAGTCACAATCAATCAATAAATAAATTAATTCTGAATAAATTATGCATTATTTATTTGTCTGTTATTTCAATTATTATGTTATAATGTCTTTTGTTGTATTTGTTTTTAGTTGCTAGTGATATATATTGCTGGGTTACTGTATTCCAGAAATAGTAAACATTTATTGGCACATCATGATTAGGAACTTTTGCAGATAACAATCATTTTTTGCAGATGAATAATTACTCTAAAGAAGCAATTCACAGAGTTAAGTTTGTAGAGTTGATAGTTTGGGTTCTAATATTCTTTTTTTTCATCCTTGTAAATTCCAAAATATTACGTGAAAATAGCCTGAATATGGGTGAAAATAGTATACGACAATCAAGAGATGATTCCTTAACACTACACTTGTTGGCAACAACAGTCATGATAGTAACAAATTCGTTCGTTTAATTCTAAAATGAAGACAATTTTTTGGCTTCACAATATAGCGATGAACTAAAAATTAGTTTCAGCTTGGATTAGTTTTAGCTAAAACATTTTTACTTTATAAGATAAGAGAGCCTTTCAGTCTCTTTGAAAGCTCATTTCTGCAGACAGTACTTAAGTTAAAAACTAATTAATATGAATACAAAACACAAAAAGTACACAAGCCTGCGTTATATAACACTAAAATGTTGAAACACAACCGAACATTTGCTGCCACAACATGAAGAAATATACCAAAGCCGATAATTTCTCGAAATTAAAATGGAATTCCTCATCAGTAAAACTGGTTTTACAAACACATCAGTATGACTTGAAATTGAAAGATAATTAAAATGAAGCAAAATTTGCAAATCTTTAAAAAATTACTAATTTTGCCAGTTTAAAAAAAACAAAAATTTACTTTCAGAAATGCATAAACCTTTTTGGATAGAAAGCCAATATTATGTAGCAAATGTAAGCCAATATAAACATAACACTGCAATTAGAAAAATGTGGTAGATTCTATTTATATGGATGAGCTATAAATATATAATTATTTACTAGAATAAATAATTAATCATTATTATAAATAATTAATGTAAATAAATTAAAACAAATACACTTATTAAATTACAAAACAAGTTACGGTAAATTTGTAGACATGTGAATTACAGAATCTATTTGAAGATAAAAATAAATACTAAATTATGTGAGAACAGATTTAGTACATAATGTTGACTTAAATTCAGAACAACAAAACAATTGGTTTACATGTAATGCAATCCTTTTACAACATAATTAGATTGCCACATTACATAACCTGAAATTACAAACAATTTAAACTTACTCCAATCAAAATTAATTTTATCTTGATTTATTATTTAATCACGAAGCTGGCATACTTGCTCTCATACAAATAACAGGCCATCACCCAAATGCGGCAATTTATCTTTTGAGCAAAGGCTCTTTGTGCATGGCTTAATTCTGTAATGCATTGATAATGAAATTTTATATTATCTATTCAAGTGAATAACTTTTGAAAAATATCACACACACATTTTTTTATTGCACTATGAAATGACATCTATTGAGGTTTTAGTTTATCAAATATGCAGCATTTGGGCTCAAACCATTAACATGATGACATCGTCCTAACTTTTCATGATCTTTTAATTTATCATTTCTACTGAATGTCTTTTGACAAATTGAACAAACAAATGGATTATTTTCGCTATGCTTTGACATATAATGAGATGTTAGTTTATCCCTTCTACTGAATGTTTTTTGACAAACATCACAGACAAATGGCTTTTCCCCAGTGTGCTTAAGCAAGTGCCTCATGAAAGTGCTTTTATACTGACTGACATATGGACACATAAGACAGGCAAAGGGCTGCTTGTCCTTAAGAGGCAATCTAAGTGACAAACCTGTAAAATCAAAACCAGATTTTAATTGCATTGAAATAATAGTATTTGATGCTTTTTTTAGAAACAATTTAAAAAAATAATAATATCAAAATTATTTAAGATAACAGAGCATTGCGTAAAACCCTATATTCTAAATCAGAGTGGTTCTCTATTCAAATAATTGATCTAAAAATAAATGAAGCAAACAAATTTACTTGGAAAAAAGGAAGCTTTATTATTTTAGTTTGCAAAGAATACAATTAAAATGAAAAAGTCCTATTTTTACAGAAAACAATAAAGAAACTCAATAAGCAATTTAGAGATATATTATTCATAATTGATAACAAAACACCTATACCTGAAACATATATTAAACAATATGTTGCTCGAAATAAAATAATAAAAAAATTACACAGGAGCACTAATCATATTACTCTTGCAAACATAACAAACTATTATTTTCCGAGAAAACAATAACTTTTTCATAAAATGTGATTAAGATAATTTTAAATAAACAATTCTTTATTTTAGTTCTTGGATAAAAAAGTTACCTTTAATAAAGAAATAAACTTTTTCAAAAAATAAATATATTTGTTATTGTAGGACATACCTGTTATTATATTTGTTATTTTTTAATACCTGGTTGTATTGTTTTTAGTTGCTAATGTAATACAAAGTGGGTTACATCATTCTATAAATCTCAAACTTTGTTTGGAACATGATTAGGAACTTTTACAGATAAGAATCATAAGAATGAAAAAGTTTAAGGAAGGGAAAAAAGCATAAACATTTCTTAAGAGTAAATTTTCACTGTACAGCAGTAAAAAGTAAAGCAAGAGACATAAATATTGAATTAAGTTTCATAAATTTACAATGCTAGTTTAGTAATAATTTCTTGATATATTTCAATTTTACATGTAATTATGAACTAAAAACTAGGAGCAAATTTACTAAGTATAGTGTCTCAATTAAGTAGCAATGTTTGATGCTTTGGCATAAATAATTTTCTTTCAATGAAAGTAGAGCAGGGCGCGTAGCCAGATTTTTCTACACAATATAAGCACCTTTGAAGCACTCCAAAATATTTTTAATCACTTTCCAAGAAAAAAAAAATCATAATTAGGATCTGAGCATAAAAACTATTTTTTCTACCATTTAAAGTTTTTAATTTATAAACATACAAAAAAACATGCAACAAATTTTCAAAAACTTTAATTATTATAAAATAACTTGTTTCTGATAAATATTGCAGAGAAAATGGGCCTTTATTTTCCAAAATAAAAAAAATTAAGTAGTTTTAAGGAACGTGGGAGCCCTGCTATCATAAAGACTTTCAGATGAGTGAGCCATTCATCTACTTTGAAAGCTTACTTCATCGGACAGAATGCAACTTACATAACATAAAAAGTACAGACGTCTGCATCACATAACACTAATAAGATGATAAATTGTTGCTAATTAACACAAATATACTACACCTGCTTCCAATTAAGATGAAGAAATACAATAAAGGTGACGAGTCCATGGTTAGTTGAAATTAAATTCTTCATCAGCAAAAATGATTTTATTAACATATAACGTTTAAGGACAGATAACAAAATTCACACCAATAATCAGATACATTTTTACCAATTTTGCCTGTAAAAAAAAATTGTTAAGTTTATTAGAATAAACACCAAATTATGCTAGTACAGATTCAGAAAATAATTCTCAACTTTTGGTAATACACACACACAAAAAAAGTGATTATGAAGAATTGGTTTACTTAGAAAACATACTTTTTCTGCACTTTTATTTCTTAATTTCATATAATTAGATTTCAGCATTATATTACCTCAAGTAACAAACAATTTAAACAGATATTAAACAAAATTAATTGAACACATTTTAAAGTTAATTCTTACTCTGTTAGGATTCTAATTTTTTTTCGTACTTCAACATAAAGCTGGAAGTTCTAGGTTCGAACAACTCATGGGACATCCCAAAAAGTCTGAATGATTTTTTAAACTTATCTTTTCTGCAAAAGCCTTTTTTGACATAACGAACAAATAAAATGGCTTCGTCCTGAAATGCACTTCCATATGAGATTTTAATTCATCACATACATATTGTTTAGTTTCACTATATATTGACACATATTAAAATTTTAGTTTATTGAAGCAGACATTTTTTGGCTCAAACCATTAACAGGACATCGTCCAAAATCTACATGATCTTTCAATTTATCTTTTCTGCTGAAAGCTTTTTGACAAAATGAACAAACAAATGGCTTAATTCCACAATGCATTGACATATAATGGCATTTTAGTTTATCATTTCTACTGAATGTCTTTTGACAAACATCACACACATATTGTTTAATTTCACTATGCATTGACATATAATGTGATTTTAGTTTATCATCTCTACTGAATGTTTTTTGACAAACATCACAGACAAATGGCTTTTCTCCCGTGTGCTTACGCAAGTGCCTGACAAACTTGCTTTTACACTGACTCACATGTGGACACATAAGACAGGCAAAGGACTGCTTGGCTTTGAAATGCGATCCAAATGACAAATCTGCAAAATTAAAAACTGTTTTTAATTTTTATGAAAATGCATTGATATTTTTTATATACAATTTTTTTTTTAATACAGTTGATCTATGTAACATAATTCTCCATATATTGCATAAATTTTACAATTTTTTCTGTTAATAATTAATTTAGCACAAATTTTGAGTTTTAAAGTAATTGCGTTTAAAAATTATTTAAAGAGCTATTGATTGCTATGTTTAATTTACATGTGAAATAATCAAATAACACAAAATTCTACATAATGCAAAGCATCATATTTTAAGCATTGCATTATTAAGATATACTATTGTTTGGTCAATTTTGGATAATTCGTGACATTTTTCCTCCTGAACATTTTTTTAAGTATTTAAAAGTGATTTCAAAATGTTATCAAAATTTATATTTAAGAAATATGACAAGACTTCAAGGTATGAAGAAATTTCCAATTTTTAAAACCAAATTAAACTACCCACATAAAATTATTATTGATAATGCTTACTAATTTTAAATACATATATTCAGTTTATAAGAAAGAGAGATAAAAGTATTCTCGATTACATACAATTAAAGCAAATATGCATTCTAAGTTTTATATGTAGTATATGAATGCACTTACTAATTAGATTGAATTGAATAATTTACAACTGAATAAAACATAATAAAATTAACAATCATGTTTCTTTTCTCTATGAAATTAAGTGGTAATGCTATTGATGAGAATAAATAAGCTACATTTTTTTGAAGTTTCATTTTTAAACAAAAATAAGTTAAGATAACATCTTTTAAGGGTTTCAATTATACATGTTTCAAAGACTACTGTTTTTGAAAAAAAAATGCATTTAATCAATATTAATTAATCTGAAATACATAAAATTAATTACTTTTGAAAAAACATTTAAAAGCAAAAAAGACAATTTCAATTATTTTGTAACACATTCAATTAAGCACACAAAAATAAATACAGAATATTTATATGCTATATTTTTGTTGTTGCATTAATAAGGTATATAAAAATTTCTCTCAGCAGTAAAATTTATCATACCTTATTTTTAAGGTTTTGAACACAATTTAAACATTGCTGAATTTTTTCGTAAAAAAGTTTTAGAAGAATATAACTTCCTAAGTTTCAGGCGGAAAGAAAAAAAAAATTGAAATTTAAAAGTAAATCTAAAAAAAAAAAAAGAAAGAAAACATTTGTAAATTATGAATTAAAACTAAGACAAATTTGTTATGCTAGAAACAATAATTAATAAAATTTTATAAACTTAATTTATTTATACAGTATAATCTAAAATATTCCAAATAACACTTTAAAACTTATAAAAAGAAGGAAAGCTTAATATTGAATACAAAATAACATAGCAATATACTATTCCAAAGATATAATTTGTCTAACCTTACTGATATACCTACATAAATTTGGCCATTTTAAAAAGAGTGACAAAAAAATAAGAGTGATACTAAATAAAGCATAAATAATAAATTACATTAATATTGAAGATAAAATAATAAAAGATAACTAAAAGGTACACTAAAAGATAAAGAGGGTTTACCACTAACTTTCTAATTTTCACCGTAACATATTTTTAAAAAAAATATTGTATTATTGCACAATGAGGAAAATACATTTTAACATAGTAACATTTGATAAATTAGAGCACATAACCATAGAATATAAAAAAATTAATTCAACCTCAATATAAAACCAGGTTGTCATGAAATAAAAAAGCAAAATAACATATTAGAAAGTTCAAATTATTTAATGAAAAAATGTCCCACACTACGTAAAATTGGAAAAATGTATATATTTTTAAATAAAACTTTAATACGTTAAAATTTAAGGTTATAAAGGTATTCTGGGAGATGTTTTACCTCCAACACACAAACAAAGTAATTTCAAAATATTATTGATGCACTACAACACCACTTAATGCAACTGTTGTACAATTTTAATATACATGTGTAGTAAAATCATTGTAATTTAAACATAACAATTCCATTACTCACTTTTGAATTACAAAATGCTATGTGAAAATAAAATAGCATTTAATAAATTAAAAAAAGTACAATTATGAGTATTTAACAAATATTAGGGCAGTAGGTAAAAAATTATAACATTCATAATAAAAATAGCGTTTCTTGTGAAAGTTTTGAAACTGATTTATTTAATTATGTTTCACGGCACACATTTTGAATTTAAAGCCTGCTACCTATTAAATGAGATAAAAAGCATTATTAAAAAAATTTAGACACTTCACTTCAGAAACCTTTTGAACATATTAAGTTACTTTTACTCTAGACAAATCCTTTAATATTATTTTATACCAGAGGACTCTACAATTCGCTTGTTCTGCAGCATTTACTGTTTTGTTTGTTTCATTTTGTAAGAAATTTTCACAAATTTTAAGTACAACAGTTTAACTCCCTTGAATGGCACACACGTAAGTCATTGCATGTTATAAACTAAACAAAGTTGAAATTATACAATTTGTAAGAGGTAATTTTACATTATTCATATATATTTTTATACTAATCAAAATAAAGACGACGTTATTAAATTGTATTTAAATGAGACTTCAAAATTATTAAAAACTTAACACCCCATGTTTAATAAGAAATGAGATTGTTGGAGTTACGATTTGTAACACAAAATTAATACTAAAACGATTAGTTTTCAAAAAGAAATGTGCATATTTTTTTAGTAATATATGCTAGGTATTTATTAGAAATAATTTTTAAATGCCAGTATACAAGGTGATGCATGCAATAAGGATACTTACATTCATTTCAACATTTTAAATGTTATTTGCTATATGTACTTATATATTTTTAACACTTGTTTAAGACTTTAATAGTATTGCCATATGAGTAACTCACATAGCTTTTAATAGCATTTTACCAATTCAATGAAATTTGAATGCATAACATATCATAAATTTTTTTAAAAAATTTTCATTTTTTTTTTTATGGTCAACTTATGAATTGTTTAGAATAAAATTCAATAGCAATCCTAAAGAAAGTAAGCGGTCAATATAGGCAGGTGGTTAGAAAACAAAAGATTAATTATCATTAATCATAAACAGCAATCCTGTGGGTAGAAGAACATCACAAAAATATTAAGTTATGACACAGACATCCGAGTTATGGGGGGGGGGACAGAATTAATGTTAATAATAATAGCACTAGTGTTAATTTTGGCCATTCTAGGCTTCAATAAATCTAACTAATTAAAAAAAAAAAGCAAAATTTTTTTCCCCTGAGAAAAGGACAAATTACATAGACACCTTCTTTTAGTGCATGCAATTGATCAATTGGAATGAAAAGCTTTGATTCCTCAAAATAAGACTATGTTGTTGTTTTATATTGATAATTCGAAAGTTATAAACAAACATATTAATGGCTGAAGTGGAAAATTTATCCTCTGATCAATATTTTTTCATCTCGGAAGTAAAAAAAAGTTTATTTATCGTTTTTAGAAATACAGAAATAAAATTTACTTATAACAAGTTTTTAGCATGAATTAAATGATCCAACAGTAAAAATTATTTTGGAATAACTGAAGAATGAAAGACTTAAGAATCCTCTTAGGTCTTTCATATTTACAGTACTAGTTTAAATATGAAAGACCTAAGAGGCAAAATTAAGCATACTCAATTTGATTGGCAAACTCATTTTGATTGGCAAAATTTTAAACATAACAGAAATGAATCTGAGAATGTTTTCCTTAGAAAATAACTGGAGAACTATAATCTGATTTTATACTGTTACAATTGTTAGCCAATTCACCTAATTATTATAAATTTAAGAGAGGCAATATAAAAAAGTATTAGTTGTGCAGCTATTTTTTAATTGAATGGACTGAGACAATTTTACTGATTTGCCACAATTTTTTTTCCTAAGAGAACATTTTTGCATCAAACTGTTTGTTAGTACTATTTCCAGGTAGATTTAAAAATATTGTCATGTATATTTAAATCTGTTTATTTTGAACGTCATATAATATTTCACATACATCTTCTCATTTCTCTGAATAAAATTTTCAATGTAAATTAAGTCATACTTTTTCTTTGTTGACCGAAATAGGTTTTTAAAAAAAATCAAGTCATAATTAAACATCACGCCAACTCTGACATGATCTGTCACAATATTAGAGATACAAACTTCTGGTTATACATGCCCATAACTTTCAGTGTCATTACTAGATCTATTGCAGAAAGAAATTGTATGTTAATTAACACTTGTTGACTTTTAAAGGATCAAACATGAGAATTTCTGTATAAAAAGCCTGGTGTGTTTCTCATAAAAGCAGTCTTCCATAAACTAAATAGTAAAGATATCATCTCTAGGATCTCTTATTTTTTTAAAGATTCGTGCATTAGGAAACCAGAAAGTAATGTTGTTACTATTTACATTGAAATCTGATTGTCACTCACTTTAAGAGTCGCACACATTTAAGGCTTAAATGATTTGCTTACTTGTAAATAAAAGTTTTTTTGTCAATTCATAAAAAATGGCCAGTAAAATATACACTTAGTATTTTATATTTTTGAGATTCATAAGAGTATGAATGGAGCAGTTTTATACTAAAAATATTTGCTACATTTTATAAATTCAAATCTGGCTATTAATATTTTCCTGACTTCGATATATCAGGAAAGCTAAATTATGGAAAAAATCAATGAATTAAGACTGGGAGGTACAGACCCATCAGCCATACTTGCTTGATATTACAACGTCTGCTTTCCGTTTATATTTTGCATTGAACAATTGCTCACAAGATAGCAAAATACTATTGATTAAGAAGATTTGATTACACCAATGATTAAAATTAAAAATTTGTTAAAAATTTACATGCTTAACTTTATGTGTAAAAAATGTATTAAGGATGCTTAAAAAGGTATTCTATATCTAATCATAAAATCAATTAAATTTACAAAGTCAGTTTTGATACATAAGAGGTAAATAAACACATTGAAACATTAAATCAAATTGGAAAAGCACACAAGTCAGCTAAAACCAAATTTGTTTTATATAATAGAAATAAGACATAT